GCTTATGCATCAGCCTTTTATGGGGTACTGTGTCAAATCCTTTCCGACAGTCCAAAAAAATGCAGTCCGCCCATTCTTCTCTTTCTTGCTTAATCTTTGTCACCTGGTCGTAGAATTCTATAAAGCCTGTAAGGCAAGATTTACCCTCCCTGAACCCATGTTGATGGGTTGTCACGAAGTCCCTTCTCTCCAGATGTGTTACTAGATTTTTTCTCAAGATCTTCTCCATCACCTTGCATGCTATATAAGTTAAGGACACTGGCCTGTAGTTCAGTGCCTCTTGCTTGTCACCATTTTTGTATATTGGGACTACATTAACAGTCTTACATAAGTAAGAAGTCTGCAGTCTGTAGTAAGTAGGGAAGGTGGTAAGTCTGCAGTCTCCAGTGACCTACTATACACTATGGAGAGTGGCAAACAAAGTACTTCTGCACACTTTTTCAGTACCCAGGGTGATATTCCGTCCGGACTAACAGCCTTTCTCACGTCCAGTTCCAACAGATGTCTCTTGACCTCATCTCTGGTAATTTCTAACCCTTCCAAAGCCTCCTGGTTTACTGCCACCACTCCTAGCTCAAGGAATTCACCTCGTTCTATTGTGAAGACCTCCTGGAATCTCTTTGTTGAGTTCTTCATACACCTCTTTGTCATTCTCTGTGTACCTGTCTTCACCCGTTTTGGTTTCATTACCTGTTCTTTCACTGTTGTTTTCCTCCTGATGTGACTGTGGAGTAGCTTTGGTTCGGTCTTGGCTTTGCTTGCTATATCATTTTCATATTCTCTCAGCTTCTCTTCTCACACTTCAGCTATAAAATTGTTCTCCTTTTTTTTTGTCCCCATATACTCAGCGCGTTCTCGCAAGCGTTCAGAACGTCAGGAAACTGTCGCACTAAAGTGCCTCCCTTCCCTACCCTTCACCACCTTCCCTTCCCTTCACCACCTTCCCTTCCCTTCCCTTCACCACCTTCCCTACCCTTCACCACCTTCCCTACCCTTCACCACCTTCCCTACCCTTCACCACCTTCCCTACCCTTCACCACCTTCCCTACCCTTCACCACCTTCCCTACCCTTCACCACCTTCCCTACCATTCACCACCTTCCCTACCCTTCACCACCTTCCCTACCCTTCACCACCTTCCCTACCCTTCACCACCTTCCCTACCATTCACCACCTTCCCTACCCTTCACCACCTTCCCTACCCTTCACCACCTTCCCTACCCTTCACCACTTTCCCTACCCTTCACCACCTTCCCTACCCTTCACCACCTTCCCTACCCTTCACCACCTTCCCTACCCTCGGGTATGACAAACCAGTGGCCAGATTCACGAAGCAGTTGTATTTTTCCATCAATCTTATAGATCTACAACATTTATTTTGACAATGAGGTGCGCAGCGAGCGGTCAGAAACCTGGGGCCAGATTCACGAAAACACTTACGAACGTGTACATCTTTCCTCAATCTTTGACGGCTTTGATTACATTTATTAAACAGTTTACAAGCATGAAAACTTCCCAATCAACTGTTGATATTGTTATAAACAGCCTCCTGGTGCTGTTTAATAATTGTAAACAAAGTCGCCAAAGATTGAGAAAAGATGAACAGGTTCGTAAGTGCTTCGTGAATCGGGCCAGTGGTTCGCGCTTCCCACAGAATCATCAATATCTAATTATCCCCAGAAAGAGGAATTATCACCAAGCTCGTTATGGAAGGACCACCAGCCGACGACCTAATTAGCAATTTGTTAACCCCCCCCCCCCCCCACCCCGTCCACTAACGAGGAAAGTCTTTAAACAAGTCACTTCATAGTTGGCATTTGCTGTGTCATTTGTAAGTCAGAAAGCTGATTTTTCTTTAATTTTGTTTGTAGATTTAAAGAGTAATTTTCTGTAATAATTGTTGCTAATTAAATAATCTAGATGGAATAGCGTTAATTATATTGTTAATCACCTTCCGTTTGTGTGAGTGTAAGTTAAATCATGACGCACGAAGCTGTTTGGTCAACCACCATCAGATTCTGGCGAGGTTGTTGGTGTATGAGTGGTACAATGAGTCTGGTGGAACCATGAGTCAACTGGTACAATGAGTGGTGGTACAATGAATCTGGTGGTACCATGAGTCTAGTGGTACAGTGAGTGGTGGTACAATGAATCTGGTGGTACCATGAGTCTAGTGGTACAGTGAGTGGTGGTACAATGAATCTGGTGGTACCATGAGTCTAGTGGTACAGTGAGTGGTGGTACAATGAATCTGGTGGTACCATGAGTCTAGTGGTACAGTGAGTGGTGGTACAATGAATCTGGTGGTACCATGAGTCTAGTGGTACAGTGAGTGGTGGTACAATGAATCTGGTGGTACCATGAGTCTAGTGGTACAATGAGTGGTGGTACAATGAGTCTGGTGGTACTATGAGTCTAGTGGTACAATGAGTGGTGGTACAATGAGTCTGGTGGTACAATGAGTCTAGTGGTACAGTGAGTGGCGGTACAATGAGTCTAGTGGTACAGTGAGTGGTGGCACAATGAGTCTGGTGGTACAGTGAGTGGTGGTACAATGAGTATGGTGGTACAATGAGTGGTGGTACCATGAGTCTAGTGGTACAGTGAGTGGTGGTACAATGAGTAGTGGTACAATGAGTGGTGGTACAATGAGTCTGGTGGTACAATGAGTCTAGTGGTACAATGAGTGGTGGTACAATGAGTCTAGTGGTACAATGAGTGGTGGTACCATGAGTCAAGTGGTACAGTGAGTGGTGGTACAATGAGTCTAGTGGTACAATGAGAAGTGGTACAATGAGTGGTGGTACAATGAGTCTAGTGGTACAATGAGAAGTGGTACAATGAGTGGTGGTACAATGAGTCTAGTGGTACAATGAGTGGTGGTACAATGAGTCTAGTGGTACAATGAGTGGTGATACAATGAGTCTAGTGGTACAATGAGAAGTGGTGCAATGAGTGGTGGTACAATGAGTCTAGTGGTACAATGAGTGGTGGTACAATGAGTCTAGTGGTACAATGAGTGGTGGTACAATGAGTCTAGTGGAACAATGATTGGTGGTACAATGAGTCTAGTGGTACAATGAGTGGTGGTACAATGAGTTTAGTGGTACAATGAGTGGTGGTACAATGAGTCTAGTGGTACAATGAGTCTAGTGGTACAATGAGTGGTGGTACAATGAGTTTAGTGGTACAATGAGTGGTGGTACAATGAGTCTAGTGGTACAATGAGTGGTGGTACAATGAGTCTAGTGGTACAATGAGTGGTGGTACAATGAGTCTAGTGGTACAATGAGTCTAGTGGTACAATGAGTGGTGGTAAAGATGAGAGAGAGAGAGAGAGAGTGGCGAGGAAGAGACAGATACAGTATAAGAAAAGAATGGCTATGAGAAGAGAAGCAGAAGAGTTCCCAGAGCATCTACACAGCCCGGCACATTGTGGCTCCAGTGACACCACCACCTCAGCTCCCTGATGGAAAATGTCCTCCCAAATTGGGAAAAACGGCTCTCCTGAGGCGGGAAGGAGAAAAAGAAGGAGGAAAGAGAAAGAATTGCGTGGCCTGTAAGGCGGACACACGCAGGAGACCAAATGGGAACTAGACTACGTACCAGAATATAATGACAATACCTTAATACAGCCGTTACTGATGTTCACATCTTCGTCGGATCGATATACATCACTCAAAAAACATTTGGCCACTGTGGACCAGACAGCGGTTCCGTTTTGGTCTTTATAGTGTAAAATGCACTTGACCTCGAACAAACCTGAATGACAAGGGTTTCTAGGACATAGAAACCTTCCTCGCGAAGAGAGACAGAGAGATTAGAAAAGGCAAGTTTGCATTTCCTAGAAAGACGATGAGTAATTAGTGGCATAATTCAAGTTTAAATTCAGGAAAGACCTGGGTAAATAGGGGGGTTGGAAATAGGGGGGTGTGGGTGATCTATGGAACAAGTTACCGGGAAGGATATTATACGTGGGATCACTGGATTATTTCAGGCGTAAGTTAGACATATATTTGAATGGGTTTGAGTGGATATAAATAGGAGTTGCCTCGTATAGATCAATACGCCTTCTACAGTTTTCTTTATTTTAATCTTGTGTGTGGGTATTCACCTAGTTGTGCTTGCGGGGGTTGAGCTCTGCTCTTTCGGCCCGCCTCTCAACTGTCAATCAACTGTTTCTACTTCTACTATTTTTTTTCACACCACACACACACACACTCCAGGAAGCAGCCCGTGACAGCTGACTAACTCCCAGGTACCTATTTACTGTTAGGTAACAGGGGCATCAGGGTGAAAGAAACTTTGCCCATTTGTTTCTACCTCGTGCGGGAATCGAATTACGCCACAGAATTACGAGTCCTGCGCGCTATCCACCAGGCTACGAGGGCCCCCCCCCTCGTAGCGTGTGTATGTGTGTGTGTGTGTGTGTGTGTGTGTGTGTGTGTGTGTGTGTGTGTGTGTGTGTGTGTGTGTGTGTGTGTGTGTGTGTGTGTGTGTGTATTCACCAAGTTGTACTCACCAAATTTTGAGCACAATTAGGGGAGAAAGAGAGAGAGAGAGAGAGAGAGAGAGAGAGAGAGAGAGAGAGAGAGAGAGAGAGAGAGAGAGAGAGAGAGAGAGAGAGAGAGAGAGAGAGAGAGAGAGAGAGAGAGAGAGAGAGAGAGAGAGAGAGAGAGAGAGAGAGAGAGAGAGAGGCAGAGAGAGAGAGAGAGAGAGAGAGAGAGAGAGAGAGAGAGAGAGAGAGAGAGAGAGAGAGAGAGAGAGAGAGAGAGAGAGAGAGGGAGAGAGAGAGAGAGAGAGAGAGAGAGAGAGAGAGAGAGAGAGAGAGAGAGAGAGAGAGAGAGAGAGAGAGAGAGAGAGAGAGAATAGTGGTGGCTCTGATAAACACAGTATACACATGTGTCCTTCGTGCAAATCCATCACCGCTGTCTTAGCAGAGATAAGACTGAGTTGCAACCTTCTTGAACACCTGACTGCTCAAGACGCTGCCCCCACACACACACTGCTCCGCGCGGCTTGGCGTCAGCGACACCCCTGCGGCCGTGCTCAGGTGAATATACCCACGGAAACCGGAAAGGAATACGTGGTTTCTTGTTTTCCGGGATAAGGAAACCTGTAGTTATGGTGATGAAGGCCGCCCCCCCTCCCCATGGCTACAGCTGCTGCTACCGTACCCCAGGATGCAACCCACAATAGGTGGCTGACTCCCGGGTACCTATTTTACGGCTAGTTGGAAGGATACTTGCCCAAAAGGCTTCGCGTAATAGTGGGTTCATTAGTATGTGTAACTCCTGTTCCTACATGTGTACATTACTCTCATGTTCTTTGTACACTCATTCTTTTGAATAAGCATTGATTGATTGATTGATTGATTGGTTGATTGAAATGTAGTCCTATCAAGAATCTCTGGGGTGTGAGCCGCGGGTGTAGACTACTGCGCTACACGGCAAGAATTGTGGAAGAGTGGAGCGTGTCTAAAGTTTTGATGCATAGGGTCCTGTAGTTCAGTAGTCAGCGTAGTTAGGTCACAACCAAATGGTGCCGGGTTCCATTCCCGCGGTTGTCCAGAGACGTTTGAACACGTTTCCTTACACATGAACCCCTCTGTTCACCTCGAGTTGAATATATACCTTAAGGATGCAACCTATTGTGGGTTGCATCCTGCATAATGTATGTATGTATGTATGTATGTATGTATGTATGTATGTATGTATGTATGTATGTATGTATGTATGTATGTATGTATGTATATAAATATATATCTATACGAGGTCTAGGGGTGGGGGAGGGGGACCTGGAGAAGCCGAACAGGGCTTCCTGTCCCCGAGACAGTGATCAACCAAACAGTGTTGTCAGTAATTGTGTTGGTGTACGGGATGATAGCTTCACTTCATATTTGTCTCTGATCTGAGAGAATCAGTTGGAGCAGATCTCATGAAGCGCGCGTAGAGGAGTCGATTCAAATCAGGTATCGTACCGGAGCTCTCTGTACCCCTTCAGCGTGCACGCGGGGGGTCATGAGCAAAACCTCTTATTACTGGGTAATAAGGAGGTTAATAAGGTCTCAGTTCGAGGCTCCAAGACCTTTTGTGGCTTCAGCTGAATCTCAGGGTTACCTTACCTATGTTAGCGTATCGTGGTCCAGTGGTTTAAGGCGTGTGCTTGGGAGTACCCAGAGCGCAGGTTCGAGTACTCCTCGTGGCTCCAACTGATTCTCTCTTCGATACATCACGTTAATGTGACTTCTTAGTGTTGTATCTGTGGCGTGATGTAGACCACAGGGGCCCTCAAGATGGCCCGCCGGGACGCTGGTGTAGAGGGCTGAGGAAGAGGTACAGCTACATCCTTGGGAACAGTAGCATACCTTCCTTATTACTGAGTACAGTAGCATACCCTCCTTATTACTGGGTACAGTAGCATACCCTCCTTATTACTGGGTACAGTACCATACCCCTCCTTATTACTGAGTACAGTAGCATACCCTCCTTATTACTGGGGTACAGTAGCATACCCTCCTTATTACTGGGTACAGTAGCATACCCTCCTTATTACTGGGGTACAGTAGCATACCCTCCTTATTACTGGGTACAGTAGCATACCCTCCTTATTACTGGGTACAGTAGCATACCCTCCTTATTACTGGGTACAGTAGCATACCCTCCTTATTACTGGGTACAGTAGCATACCCTCCTTATTACTGGATACAGTAGCATACCCTCCTTATTACTGGGTACAGTAGCATACCCCTGTTTATTCTCCTAGCTGTATGCGCTAACAAGGCTAGCTGGGTCCTCTCGTAGCATCTGTTTCATGTGATATTGCCCCTTACAGTCTGCAGCATCCCATTACTGAACGTCACAGTTCCTCCACTGTTTAACAGATAAGGTTCATGTTAGTCATTACTTTTCACAACTCTTTTATTCAAAGTTTTCCCTTCGGTAGGTTGGTGGTGTTATAACATTGTCTGGGACGGCAAAGTTCCTTGACTGTAAATCAGTGTGTGTTCACTCCTGCCTGATTTGTCCCCCGGGCCTAAAATTAAATAGAAAGAGAGCTTGGTACAAAATAATTAAGAATGGGAAAGTCAGTTTAGAACAGGAATTCGTTGAACTGGTTAGAAATGTTAAAAGAGAGATAAGGAGAGCAAAAAGAAACTATGATATTCACATAGCAGGGCAAGCAAAGACAAATCCTAAATTTTTTTTTTACTGATATCGAACAAAGACTAGGGAAAGAATAGGTCCATTAAAAACTGAGACAGGTCAGATAACGGATAATGACGAAGAGATGAGTAGTATTTTTAATAAACATTTTCTCTGTATTTACTAAAGAGGAAATTAACACTATGCCTTCAGCCGAACAAGTCTATGTGGGTGGGGACGAGGACACGTTGACTAGTTTAGCAGTTACCAGGGAGGATGTTATTAAACAAATAGTAAAACTCAAACCAAACAAATCCCCAGGGCCGGATGAAGTGTTTGCCAGGGTGCTTAAAGAATGCAAAGAGGAGCTTTGCTTCCCACTGTCTACAATATTTAATAACTCAATAGAGTCAGGCAGAGTACCAAAATCATGGAAGGTTCTAATGTGGCACCACTTTTTAAGACAGGAGATAGATCACGTGCGTCAAACTATCGGCCAATTAGCCTAACGTCTGTTGTGGGAAAGTTACTCGAATCGATAATTGCAAATACAATTCGTCTTCATCTTGAAAAACACAAATTAATAAATGATTTGCAACATGGTTTTACAAATGGCCGTTCATGTTTAACAAATTTGCTATAGTTTTATTCCAGCATAGTTGAGGCAGTTGATAGTGGTAAGGATTGTGATGTTGTGTACCTTGACTTTAGCAAAGCTTTTGATACAGTGCCACATGAAAGACTGATTAAAAAGATAGAGGCTCATGGTATTGGGGTGCTATATTAAGTTGGATTAGGGCATGGCTATACCAAAGGAAACAGAGAGTTAGTATAAATGGGGTTAAGTCAGAGTGGAACAATGTTGTAAGTGGAGTGCCTCAAGGCTCTGTCCTGGGTACTCTGTTGTTTATAATATATTTAAATGATTTAGATTCGGGTTTGAGTAGCAACATTTGCAAATTTACTGATGATACAAAAATAGGTAGGGAAATAAACGCGGAAAAAGACTCACTATCACTTCAAGTCGATCTAAAAAAGGGTTTTGAAATAGTCAAAAGATTGGCAGATGCAGTTTAATGCTGATAAAAGTAAAGTTTTGAGGCTAGGTAATGATGATAGAGTTACAAGATACGAGCTTCATGGTGTTGAGATTGCGAAAGGGATCTGGGAGTTATGATTAGTAAGAATTTAAAACAAAAGGATCAATGCATGAATGTTCGTAATAAGGCAAATAGGACACTTGGATTTATTAATCGAAGCGCTAGTAACAAGACACCTGGTGTGGTTCTTCAGCTATATCTTGCTCTGGTTAGGCCCCATTTAGATTATGCAGTTCAGTTTTGGTCGCCGTACTATAGAATCCACATAAATTCACTTGAACGTATCCAGCGTAGGATGACAAAGTTAATTCCTCAAATTAGAAACCTGTCATATGAAAAAAGATTAACAAACCTTACATTGCATTCACTGGAAATTCAAAGAGTTAGGGGTGACATGATAGCGGTGTACAAGTGGATGAATGGACATAACAAAGGGGATATTAATAGGGTATTAAAAATATCAACTCAAGACAGAACACGAAACAATGGATATAGATTTGATAAGTTTAGATTTAGGAAAGACCTGGGTAAATACTGGTTCAGAAACAGGGTTGTTGATTTGTGGAACCAGTTGCCGCGTAGCTTGGTGGAGGTGGGGTCCCTTGATTGTTTCACGTGTGGGTTGGACATGTATATGAGTAGGATTGGGGGGTTATAAATAGGAGATGCCTCGTATGGGCCAACAGGCCTTCTGCAGTTACCTTTGTTCTTATGTTCTTCCTAAATGACTTAGGTGTCGCTATGTGGTATAAGAAGTAGGTAAAATTAATTTGTCCTCTCATTGGAATCAATACTAAGGACAGAGCTTTTTACCTGGATTTACCTGTGAGCCACCGTTATTATCTGGTGTCCTTGACGTGGACAGGAAGCAAGCAGCTTATCAAAGGCGCCCCCTTCTCCCCCCCTTTTTTTTTTAACCTTTTCGATCTTCGGACAGTGATCCAGTCGACATTTGGGTTATTAACATCCCCCATGATTACCCCCACATTATTTAATATTGACTCTACCTTTGGTTATACAAGACGACGTTGCTTTACTGATGTCGTTGTAACCTTTGTGACAGAAGATAAATGTGATCCCTTCAGGGTGTTGATTGATTAGATAAAGCTGACAGGTGGTTTAGCTCTCTATACATCACGCCTGGATTAGATAATCAATGCTAATCCATAACTAATCACGTCACTCCCTGATTGGCACAGTAGCAAATGAATGTGAAACCAGTGAATAATAATACGATATGAGAGTGGCGTCCTGCGGCCCAGCCAAGGGTGGTCCCGGGTTCACTTCCCGCGGCAGGACAAGGGGGCGTTTGGGCAACGTTTCCTTTCACCTGGTGCAGCTGTTCACTTAGCAGTAAATAGGTAACTGGGAGTTAAGCAACTATTGTGGGTTTGCAAGCTGGTGAGAGCTGACGTCACGTGGGATGATGTCACGTGGGGTGATGTCACGTGGGTGATGTCACGTGGATGATGTCACGTGGGTGATGTCACGTGGGGTGGTGTCACGTGGATGATGTCACGTGGGTGATGTCACGTGGGATGATGTCACGTGGGTGATGTCACGTGGGTGATGTCACGTGGATGATGTCACGTGGATGATGTCACGTGGGGTGATGTCACGTGGATGATGTCACGTGGGTGATGTTACGTGGGGTGATGTCGCATGGGATGATGTCACGTGGTGTGATGTCACTTGGTGTGATGTCACGTGGGATGACGTCACCGGGGGGATGAAGTGAAGTTGGATGAGGTTAATGTAACAAAATTTTTACCTGAATTTACCTGCGGGGGCCACTATCTCTCTAGTGGCCTCGAACGGGGAGACAGGAAACCGACGGCTTGTCGAAGGTGCCCATATTTCCCGTGAAGACTTTTGTCTAACTTGATTTTGAACTTAAGTAAGTAGTGTAAGTAGAGTGGGATTGGGTGGTTATAAATAGGAGCTGCTTCGTTTGGGCCAATAGGCCTTCTGCAGTTACCTTTGTTCTTATGTGATGTCTTGGCATTTATGGCTTCAACCATGATACAAAATATATATACACTTGATGTATTAAGTAATCACCAAGAAATACAACGGCTCCAAGTAGTCAGAGACAACCGAAAATAATCTGAGCGCAGGGGGGGGGGGGGTAGAAATAGCCTAAGCTACTCTATCCCTGTGAGATGTATTTTTTTTCTTGTCTCAATAAACATACTTGAACTTGAACTTGATCTGAGCACTTTCGTGATTTAACACAAGTTTTCCAAGAAGCAGTTTAAGCAGAGGCAGAAGCAGTTTAAGCAGAGGCAGAAGCAGTTTAAACAGAAGCAGAAGCAGTTTTCCTTCGAAATAACCAAAGCGTTTGTATAATTTTCGTTTATCTCGTCTATGTTGATACTTTCGCGTGTCTCAGTCACGTAATTTTGTTATTGTTTGTATATTCATAAAGGTATGTTTATATAGGAACTATGTCTCATACTTTCTGAGTGAAGGGCCAAGTAATCAGTGCTCTATTATCCAGTAAGTTCACTAGAACTTCGGTTTCAACCCTTTTACCCTGTCGTAGCTAAGTCGATTAAGGCAGTGTCTGGGATGCTCCCGGACGCAGGTTCGAATCCTCGTCACGCCCCTTGTGGATTCATTAGGTGTTGGAATATAGAACTGGAAGCGACGTAACGGATTTGATAAAGTGGGTTATGTTCCTTGGCCTTGTTGACAGTGTGCCTTACTGCGTCTGGATTACCAGATACGGTGATGCTTCCTGGATCAGTAACAAGGGTTTGACGTGTGTGTGTGTAGTTAACTATTTGTGTTTACAGGATCGAGCATTGACTCTTGGATCCCGCCTTTCGAGCCATCGGTTGTTTACAGCAATGACTCCTGTCCCATTTCCCGATCACATCTAGTTTTAAAATTATGAATAGAGTTTGCTTCCACAACCTGTTCCTTAAGTGCATTCTATTTTTCCACTACTCTCACGCTAAAAGAATACTTCCTAACATTTCTGTGACTCATCTGAGTTTCCAGCTTCCACCCATGTCCTCTCATTCTGTTACTATTATGTGTAAACATTTCGTCTATTTCCACTCTGTCAATTCCCCTGAGTATTTTATACGTTCCTATTATATCCCCAGCTCTCCCTTCTTTTTTCTAGTGTCGTAAGGCTCAGTTCCGTCATAATGTTGGGACGAGTCTCGTTCCAAACTTCTGAACCTTTTTCAGTTTCCTTATGTGTTTCTAACAGGTACTCACCTAATTGTGCTTGCGGGGGTTGAGCTCTAGCTCTTTGGTCCCGCCTCTCAACCGTCAATCAACAGGTGTACAGGTTCCTGAGCCTACTGGGCTCTATCATATCTACACTTGAAACTGTGTATGGAGTCAGCCTCCACCACATCACTGCCTAATGCATTCCATCTGTTAACTACTCTGACACTGAAAAAGTTCTTTCTAACGTCTCTGTGGCTCATTTGAGTACTCAGTTTCCACCTGTGTCCCCTTGTTCGCATACCACCAGTGTTGAATAGTTTATCCTTGTTTACCCGGTTGATTCCCCTGAGGATTTTGTAGGTTGTGATCATGTCTCCCCTTACTTTTCTGTCTTCCAGTGTCGTAAGGTGCATTTCCCGCAGCCTTTCCTCATAACTCATGCCTCTTAGTTCTGGGACTAGTCTAGAGGCATACCTCTGAACTTTTTCCAGCTTCGTCTTGTGCTTGACAAGGTACGGGCTCCATGCTGGGGCCGCATACTCCAGGATTGGTCTTACATATGTGGTGTACAAGATTCTAAATGATTCCTTACACAGGTTCCTGAAGGCTGTTCTGATGTTAGCCAGCCTCGCATATGCTGCAGATGTTATTTTTTATGTGGGCTTCAGGAGACAGGTTTGGTGTGATATCAACTCCTAGATCTTTCTCTGTCCGTTTCATTAAGTACTTCATCTATTCTGTATTCTGTGTCTGGCCTTCTGCTTCCACTGCCTAGTTTCATTACTCTGCATTTACTCGGGTTGATGTGTGTGTGTGTGTGTGTGTGTGTGTGTGTGTGTGTGTGTGTGTGTGTGTTTGTGTGTACTCACTTAATTGTACTTACCTAGTTGTGCTTGTGGGGGTTGAGCTCTAGCTCTTTGGTCCCGCCTCTGAATTGTCAATCAACTGGTGTACAGATTCCTGAGCCTACTGGACTCTGTCATATCTACACTTGAAACTGAGTATGAGTCAGCCTCCACCACATCACTGCCTAATGTATTTCATTTGTTAACTACTCTTGAGTGTAAGGGAATGTGGAAATATTGTTTTGTAAGAGTATGTGAAAGCATTTCTCTAAGATAACATGACTTGGCTTGACTTGTTGAATAGAAAATGTAACAAATGCAGCGAGATGCTTTCGTCGGCAAGAGAGTAGCTAGTGCACATGTGTTGATAAGACATTAACACTGTTACACACAGAGATCACACTAACGTGATGCATCAAATGAACAAATCCACAAGGGCCGTGACGAGGATTCGAACCTGCGTCCGGGAGCATCCCAGACACTGCCTTAATCGACTGAGCTACGACAGGGTTAAAAGGAGTTGAAACCGTGAGTTGGAACACTGTGAGCTGTTCCTGCAGAAATTTTGGGATAAACAATGTACTGTGTATTTGAAAAACTTTCCCATGTACATTTCGTAGTTTAAAATAACGAATGAAAGATAGTATGAAAAGTTGAAACCCAATACCAGACATATTATAGTGAAATATGCAGGCAGGAGGGTTTATAATAATGTGTCACAATATTGGAACGGCGGGCGGGAAAAACACGAGCCGCCGGCACATGGAGGAAGAGAGAGGAGTGAGAGAGACCCCACACAAAATTTTGGTTCACGTTCTTGGGAGGTATTAAGACCCCTTATTCAATCGGATGGAGTGGCGACCTATACCCACCGTATAACTGAGTATTCCGAGTTTATTTTGGTGTGGTATCTGTCGTTAGATAGGGTAGGATGTTGTAAATATGAGTGGATTACATATATGCATCGGCTCACGTTAGAGGCGGCCATGTTGGAACATTCCTACACAGACACAGTAACCATTGGCTATTGACGCAACATTAATTACGGGCTGTTGGCGTAATATTTTTAGATAGATGTGTCAGTGATTATTCGGACTCTGCAGTATGTGGCGAGCTGTCAGTAGCGGTATGTCTACTCACATAATTTGAATACAACTGCACCTCAGAGGGGCACAGTTTTATTCAAATTAGTTTTTTACATCAAAGATTGATACATTCCTTATTCTACCAATTTAAATAAATTTATCAATTTGAATTTTTTTCTGAAAAATATTTTTGTGAAAATTGAAGTTGGCATATTAATGTTGCGTTGAAAACCCAGCCCGTCCTCCAAAGACCCAAAAGTGATTCCATCCACCCGCCAACCCCCCTGTTTATGAATGAAAAACGGTTTACACACGACTCTCAACTGCTGACGTCCGAACACTTCCGGAACAAGTGCTTCACTGACGATTTTTTTTTTCGATTCACAACGCTATAAATGCTTCACCCACGTACTACAAATACAAATAATCGCCAACAGAACCTAAACACCTAACCTATGCCTATATACACAATATTCTAATATATTATAATATAAATTTATATTTGAGAAAATTCCCGTTCTGAATGAACAGCATGTTAAAATTTATGAATGCGTCTATGGGGTCGACCGCTGGATGTAATGGACTTGAGTCGAGGACGGGTTCAGAAAATCTACACTATTAAACCAATTATATTAAACTATTAAATTCTATGCATATATCCTTGTCTAATATTAGTATCGTCCACAGAAACACACACACGTCATGGCACAGAAAGCAGAGACGTCGGGGTGAGTATAATCATTTTCATGGTTACTATTACTGTAGTTTGTGGTACTTCTGAACATTTGCTACGAGCGTTGGTGTCTTAAGTACAGTATATGTCTGTGATTGTTGTCTTGTGTACGTGTGTGTTGGTCTGTGACTGCTTACTCCTGTGTTACCCCAACCCGTTCTCGCACTTGCTTCTGTCAATATTGGCTTACTTAATAAGTGCATATGTTACATACTAATTGATTGTGAATATTTTAGTTTACCTTGAAAAGCTTCATAGCTTCATAGCACCGACCTCACCTAACCTTTTTAGTATGTTAAGATAAGCATCTTATTGCTTCTTATTTACAATTATTACTTAACCTATCGTTACCCAGATGGACGGCCTGTGCTACTCTGGCTCTCTACTGGCTCCACCCACAGCCAGGTGGAGCCGGAAGCCTTACTACTTCACGTTGTTGTTGTTGTTATAGATTCAGCTACTCGGAACAAGTTCCAAGTAGCACGGGCTATGACCTGGCACAGGAGCGGGGCAAGTAGCGCGGGCTATGGTGAGCCCGTAACTTACCTGGCACAGGAGCGGGGCAAGTAGCACGGGCTATGGTGAGCCCGTAACTTACCTGGCACAGGAGCGGGGCAAGTAGCCCGGGCTATGGTGAGCCCAAAGTGGACTTACCTGGCACAGGAGCGGAGCTGTGTGTGTCGCCTGTACTACATCACCCAGTCACGTTGTTATGTAACACTTGATGGTCCCAGGAATCAGATTGCGGGCTATTCATGCCTGTGCCACCTCTTGGGTGGCTTAATCTTCATCAATCAAGGAATCAGGAACCAGAGTAGGCTATCGCCGGGTCTATAGCGGGTGTTGTCTCGCTGTAGATGCGGGGCTAACACTGCTTTTCATATATTTACTCCTCAACACGCTCATTTAGATATAATACTGGGTTATTGCACTTCGCCCTTCTTATTCTTTACGGCACATACAGTTTACGTGGAGGTGTGTGTTGTGTTGATGGCGTCAGCTGATCGTTGATGTTTTCTGAGATCCTAGAGACCAAGTTGCCTTGACAATACCGGTGGTACACCCAACAGAGAGTCGACTCACGAGCTTTCGTCCGTAGCCAGAAGATCAGTTCCAAGTGACTGGGTGCAGTTACTTCCAAGAGCAAGAGCTTCACCCGTAGTGTTACTTAAGCAAGCAACTTCAGTGGAACAAATGACTTCCAATGTTCAGAATTTGTTGCACAACGTCTCTTGAATTTAGGACATTAATAAGTGTAACCGTTAAGTGACTGGACTGACTTGTATGCTTTATTATTTTGTATGTTGTCGCCGGAGTTTATTGTGCACCCCATACTCATCATGTGCGCGGTAGCGCAAAAATGTATTACAGAGGGCACAAAAAATCTTTATCAGACCTCAACGGTGACGATTACATTAACAGTTTCATCTATCCTTCACACCTTATAATTATAATGTTAGTTAGTTACAATGTCCTATTTCAATAGCTATATATTTACAGTTAATAAATACAATAATTGTAGGTCTGATCACTAATGCATAATTGTTTGATATAGTGTACGTATTCGGAGTGGGTATCCATACCCGGGAATATCTAATGACTCTTGTAAAATATATAATGTTTTATGAATAACATTTATCGATCATGGGATTATATTGAGGAATATAATCCCATGATCGCTGGATTGTTTCAAGCACAGGTTAGACACACACACACACACACACACACACACACACACACACACACACACACACACACACACACACACACTATATATATATATATATGTATATATATATATATATATATATATATATATATATATATATATATATATATATATATATATATATATATATATGCGAGATTTGGTGGATATAAATAGGAGCTGCATCGTTTGGGGCCAAATAAGCCTTCTGCAATTTCCTTGTGTGTTATATCTTCTTAATTCACAATTACTACAATAGTTATTCCAGAGAAGAGAATGAATTACTCTCGTAGTAAGCAGTAAATAGGTACCTGGGTGTTAGTCAGCTGTCACGGGCTGCTTCCTGGGGGTGGAAGGCCTGGTCGAGGACCGGGCCGCGGGGACACTTAAAAGCCCCGAAATCATCTCAAGATAACCTCAAGATAGTGCATAACAATGAACATCTCTTGCTTCCCACAGGTCGTGGACGCTCAAGAGGACCTCCACCTGTGTTGTCCGCCTCTTGAGCCAACATTCGGAGGAGCACTATAACCTGGCCTACTCCCTCCACCAGGTCAGTCATGCACCATCCACCTTCCTAGGTGGATGGTGGTGAGGTGGGTATAAGGTGTCCCTCCACCAAGGCAGTGGTGCAAGATCCAACTGGCATTTGTCACCTTATTCCTCTGTCTCACAGCTGACATGTGTCACCTTATCCCTCTGTCTCACAGCTGACATGTGTCACCTTATCCCTCTCACAGCTGACATTTGTCACCTTATCCCTCTGTCTCACAGCTGTCGGAACAGGGCAACACGGAGGTGCTGAAAAAGAAACTGATGTCGACTAAGGACATCGACCAGCTGGATGGCGAGCAGCTGGCCCCCTTACACTACGCCGCCCGCTACAGCAGGCTCCGTGCCATGGGCCTCCTCCTGGCGAGTGGCGCTCGCCCTGACGTCCGCGACCTAGACCACCGCACGCCCCTTCACTATGTCGCCAGGTCAGCACCACGCCCCTTCACTATGTGGCCAGGTCAGTACCACGCCCCTTCACTATGTCGCCAGGTCAGCACCACGCCCCTTCACTATGTCGCCAGGTCAGTACCACGCCCCTTCACTGTGTCGCCAGGTCAGCACCACGCCCCTTCACTATGTCGCCAGGTCAGTACCACGCCCCTTCACTATGTCGCCAGGTCAGCACCACGCCCCTTCACTATGTCGCCAGGTCAGTACCACGCCCCTTCACTGTGTCGCCAGGTCAGCACCACGCCCCTTCACTATGTCGCCAGGTCAGCACCACGCCCCTTCACTATGTGGCCAGGTCAGTACCACGCCCCTTCACTATGTCGCCAGGTCAGCACCACGCCCCTTCACTATGTCGCCAGGTCAGCACCACGCCCCTTCACTATGTCGCCAGGTCAGTACCACGCCCCTTCACTGTGTCGCCAGGTCAGCACCACGCCCCTTCACTATGTCGCCAGGTCAGTACCACGCCCCTTCACTATGTCGCCAGGTCAGCACCACGCCCCTTCACTGTGTCGTCAGGTCAGCACCACGCCCCTTCACTATGTCGCCAGGTCAGTACTACGCCCCTTCACTATGTCGCCAGGTCAGCACCACGCCCCTTCACTATGTCGCCAGGTCAGTACCACGCCCCTTCACTATGTCGCCAGGTCAGCACCACGCCCCTTCACTATGTCGCCAGGTCAGTACCACGCCCCTTCACTATGTCGCCAGGTCAGCACCACGCCCCTTCACTATGTCGCCAGGTCAGTACCACGCCCCTTCACTATGTCGCCAGGTCAGTACCACGCCCCTTCACTATATCACCAGGTCAGTACCACGCCCCTTCACTATGTCGCCAGGTCAGTACCACGCCCCTTCACTTTGCCACCAGGTCAGTACCACGCCCCTTCACTATATCACCAGGTCACCAAGAACCTTCAAATCAAATCGAAGACATTATTCATAAATGGTTGTACATTTAAAGTTGAGAATGTTTGCATCAAAATTACAGAACATTAGTCACAAGAGTCACACTAAGAGTGTACCACGCCGAGATTGTCATTGTCAGAATCACAATCTTTACTCGTAACAAGTTTCCCAAATCATTACAATACTGGCTGGACTAAACAGGTCGAAAGCAATCTAAGCCAAAGCTACCTTTTAGGCATTAAGGTAACTGAACGTTTAGCTATGAAGTTGAAAGATGATATATTGTAAAGACACATATATATATTGGCACAATTTAAATCACAAAATTAACATTCTATGACGTTCTAATGTTCACTTCCTCGGCATTCTTCCCCATGACAAACAAAAATCAAAACGAAAAAATCGTGCAAGAATCATTGATCTAATCCATCCCGTCAAATTCCCTGAAACACACGTCTCCAAGAAGAAGAACGGTTTACACGAGCTTAACCTCTTACGCCTTTCCTTAACAAGGTGCAGGGCAAAGGTGCACAGTCTGGCCTCGTACTCCTCCAGGGGCACGCGATTGGTGGAAGTCCCGGGCACCGCTCCTGCCGCAGGTGAGATTGATTTAGCCTCAGTTACAATATAACAGTTAATGTTTGTGCTTAAAAACATTTGCAAGTGATGTTAGTGTTGACCAGACCACACAGTAGAAGGCGAAGGGACGACGACGTTTCGGTCCATCCTTTGGACCATTCTCAAGTCAACTTGAGAATGGTCCAGGACGGACCGAAACGTCGTCGTCCCTTCACCTTTTTCGTTTTCTCTGATAGGCACAGTGCCTATTTGAGAAAACGGCAATGTATTGTAACTTAGAGGAGAGACTATTGAGTTGGTGACACAACGAGGGTACGCCCACTCCACACACTCTTGTGTTGGCCGCGATCATGATTCTACATTTATATGCATATGTCTGTGTAGAGAATTTTATTCCGAACACTATACAAACAAAAAAACGGTGTGAATCAAGTATAAACTTGAAAAAACATGAGCAAAGTAAAAACTTTTTATTCTCACGGGTACAAACACGCGTAATATTCGCGTAAGATTTTATTCACCGCAAATTTATTTGACGCTCTGTTGGCCAATTCTACCCATATTCTTATAGAACTTTATATTGCAAACACATTGCTATAAAAATGAAATACGTAGCTCGAGAAATAATGTCAGAACAGTGAAATAAGTATAAACTTTTAAAGCGCTGCATCACAACAGTGTCGTCGCTGCTGAAATCACGGCTAACGCTTCGCCCAGTTCCCACACTCGTGCGGAACATAATTAGACATTGATAGGCATATGTCTGGGTGGGGAATTTTATTGCGAGTTCAGTGATATCAAAATAAGCGCTGTAGGATGACTGTGAGGCTGACAACAAACGAAAGAGTATGAACATTTACTTCCTGTTTGGGTGTCACGGCGAGTCATCTTCGTGTTTATTTACTTCGTGGTGGGATACCAAATGCTTGGGTGACATTTTATGCATATGATCTTGTAGAGAATTTTATTGCCAACGCATTGATACCAAAATGAAAAACGTAGCTCGAGAATTGATGTTAGGAGCGTGAAAAGATTATAAACTTTTTTGTGTTTACGCTTGACCGCCCAGAACGCCGCGCGCACAACCCGCTTTTTTTTCAGCGAGTGCCGTGCGCACTAAAGTGTTAAGTAGAACTTCGGTTTCAACCCTTTTCCCTGTCGTAGCTCAGTCAATTAAGGCAGTGTCTGGGATGCTCCCGGACGCAGGTTCGAATCCTCGTCACGGCCCTTGTGGATTTGTTCATTTGTTCATTGGTCACCATACTTTAGCCACGTTATTGTGACTCATCGCCAGCAAGGGATGTTAGTGTTCTCTCGTGAGTATGAGCGTCAAGTGTAAATATTATTGAAAGTATTGGTGTTCATGTAGTGTGTCGTTGTCCGTGTATGTACATCAAGAAAATGGTGATCAAATATAATGTAACACAGTAGTTTGTCTAAAATAATTAAGCAAATTGCTATCCGTTGTTTGATAGTTAACCTTCTCATCTGTATGCTTTATCACAATCCTCAGATTAGGCAAAATTGTAATTAATTTTGTCAATAAAGATGTTAATAATAATAATGTATGCACGTCGACTTGATGAAATTTCTTCTTTCTTGGCCCTTTTTCTGCCCCTATTGGGTATTCTTGTGAGTTGAAGACCCTTCTTGCCCATTTTTAGCAGCATAGTCTCAGCATAGACACGCTAATCTCTTCAGCAGAGCGCAGAAGTGTGCATGAGAGACCTGCTGAGGGAGAAGAGGAGTCTGCTGTGCGACCTGCTGAGGGAGAAGAGGAGTCTGCAGTGCAGCTTCTCTGCCGCCACGGGGCAAGTGTCGCCCCGCAGGACAAGTATGGCTACACGCCCCTGCACCTCGCCGCCATGACGGCCAACACAGCCGTAGCCTCCGAACTCGTGGAGGCGTGTCAAGCCAGCGTCGAGGTGAGTGGTGCGACGGACGGAACTGGATGGAAGGTTGGGTGAACAGGTGTCGAAGGAGAGATGGAGTAAGGAAGCTTGTAGCGATGCAGGTGTTGAATCATGTGGAAGAGGAGCCATTTGTGCTACACTAATGTAGGTTAATTTGTACGTAGGATGATTCGCCGACAGTTTTTTATAAGCTTTCTAACTTGATCCAACCTAATTTAACCTAACCGAACCCATTTTAACCCGTCCTAGCCCAACATTGCCCCTAGCCCTTGGGGCTAGGGGCATTGCCCTTGGGGAGCCGGTCGGCCGAGCGGACAGCACGCTGGACTTGTCATCCTGTGGTCCTGGGTTCGATCCCAGGCGCCGGCGAGAAACAATGGGCAGAGTTTCTTTCACCCTATGCCCCTGTTACCTAGCAGTTAAATAGGTACCTGGGTGTTAGTCAGCTGTCACGGGCTGCTTCCTGGGGGTGGAGGCCTGGTCGAGGACCGGGCCGCGGGGACACTAAAGCCCCGAAATCATCTCAAGATAACCTCAATATAGCCCAACGAACCTAACGTATTCCATTCCATTCACCCGGGCTGTATAGCAATCCATCTCAACCCAGCCTAACATTACGATATAAAATACATTAACAATCATAAAATAAATGCCTGCGAGCAGACTCCCCCTAGTAGAGTGGTAGTCCCAGTGTTGCAAGCAGCTAAAAAATTAGAATTAGGTCAAACTACCAATTATTTACAGAGTATTGGCAGACAGTAACGAGTTATGCCGTGTTATTCCGGCCTGTGTGTGTCATGCCAGCAATGAATATGTCAGGTTGAGAAGAGAGGCAGAAAGACAATACGAAAATGACATAGCAAGCAAGGCAAAGAGTCAGCCTAAATTGCTGCACAGCCACATCAGGAGAAAAACAACAGTAATGGAACAGGTTATGAAATTAAGGATAGGGGCAAAAGGATTCACTACAAACGACAAGGAAGTGTGTGAGGAACTGAATAAGAAATTCCAGGTCTTCACCTATATGACCAAATACTCTCTCTCTCTCTCCTTCACGGTGTACAGATCGGGGACAACCAGGAGATGACGCCGCTGATGGTAGCGGCCACACACGGCCACGTGGCCATAGCCAGACTCCTGCTGGAGAGCGGCCGTGCAGAGCTGCTGAAGACCGACTCCTTCGGGAAGACTGCCCTCCACAGTGCCTCCAGGGGCGGCCACTTGGTGAGTCGAGGGCGCCCCTTCACTCCATAATATTTCTTGGCAACTACCAACCCGAATCAGGGGTTCTTCAGATATTGACATGTCCACTTACGATGTGTAAACATTTGGACTGGTCGGTACAGCGTCGGCCTCGTTATTTGCAGGTTGGCGTTCGATCCCTGACGATCAAATAGTGATTGAGCACTGTTCCTTCCCTCGTACCTATAATAATTAAAAATACTAATTAATTAGAATTAATAATAATTAACTATTCCAGATCCCATATTCCTTCCAAGTGTAGCATAGTTGTATTGACTTAGCGCTTTCTCCTGAGAAATACTTTACCTTACGAGACCTATACGTGTTTTCTCAACCACGGTGACTTAGTCTTTATTTATTAGGCAGTTTTTATGAACTTGGGAACTCGGTGAGGGCGTTCTCGACCCAATGTTATTTTTATTATAGACAATTTCATGGTGCTTCGGAACTCATGAACTTTGTAATAACACATTCTTAACCCACTGTGTTTGAGGAAAGATGTACAGGTTTCGTAACTGGACACGTTAGTACATAATGAATCCTGGCTCGGGTTGGGTGTTGGGTCTATTGACCGTGGATGACACAATATAGCTTGCTGGCCTACCAGCAAGTATACTAGGCCTACCAGCAAGTATACTAGGCCTAAACATGAGCAAGAACTGGAGTAACTACCAGAGGATATTCTCCAGTAAAGGAGGTAAACCTCACGTTGAGTGTATAGTGAGTGTAAACCCTAATCAGGTTATGCAATAGACAGTATTGAGGACCTGCAATTACTACCACACGTTTGTGTTCTTAAACTATGGGATGATAAAGCATCAGAATAATATTTTTTACAACATAGTGACATCACAGTAATGTCTTATAATTACATGAAAATCTTTCGAGCAGGACGGGATCGAACCAGGGCTCCTGGGTCCCTGCAGACACATGCTGCACCCATGGATTATGATGTGCTAAAAGTTACCCAACCTGGAGTCCACTCGAACCCACTAGGTGTTTCTGATATGCTTGTAAGTGCCAACCTCTACAACTGTCCTTTGAGGTGCCAGCACTTTGGAAGTCCAAATTCGTGTCTCTAGTATATTCTGGCTTCAGGGAACTAATAGTAGCTTCTAGTGTCATATTATTTACCTAAAGAGAGCTTTGTTGTCCAAATGCGGCCTAATCTTTGGTTCGTCAGTGCACTATTTATTTATTTATTTATTTATATACAAGAAGGTACATTGGGTTTGTGAGAATATATAGCATAGTACAGTAATTGCACTCTTGTAAAGCCACTAGTACGCGCAGCGTTTCAGGCAGGTCCTTAATCTAACAGATAATTTTAAGTAGGTAAATTCTATCAGAATAAAGTGCCCAAAAGAATCCAATTTACGTTATTGAATAATTACTAGTGTTCAAGAGGGCGTGTGGTTCTCTGCTGCAGGGGATGGTCAACCTTCTACTGCACAAGGGCAGGAACAGCAAAGGCTTCATGAACTTCCTTGACGCCAAGGACGCGCAGGACAAGACGGCCCTCTACCACGCCTGCAGCAACGGTCACGCGCTGGTGCGTCGGGACGCCTGTAACTATACGGCCTTAGCTAATCTGTAGGACAACAGCACGGGAGACATCTCCCGTCACGCAGGGTGCAGTCGCACCTCCACAGATCTCCAGTATCATCTATTGATACTGGAAATGGCTCAAAAGGGCCACCACTTATGGGCTATTCATGCCCAAGCCACCTTTTGGGTGGCTTAATCTTCTCTCTCTCTAATCTGCAGGTGTCAACCTCCCCTGGCTTTGCGCCCTGGTGAGGCCACTCCAGACCAGGCCGACACCAGAGTGCAACTCCATAGTCTCCTGAGACTGATGGATGCCTACTACTAGCTAATCTGTCCTAAGTCTGCATATGTACTTCTAGGGCCTAATATACAATGTCTTAGACCTAATTTAGAACAAATGTGTGATATGCTTAGAAAAGTTTAGACTGTTAATCTTTTGGTTAATCGCTTTTGGTTAACCCCTTTTGGGTAATCCCTTTTGGCTAATCCCATCTCTCTGGTGCTCTCTTCAAAATTTATAGTATAAACCTTGAGGTGATTTAGTCGCAACAATACACTTTTGAACGTTCGACGAACAGCTTCTTAGTAAGTGCTGCCATCTCTGGACGACAGGTTGAGACACTAACACAGGTAACACCCCTCACAACACGTGTCGTAACCCCTCGTGTAACCTCCGGGGCCTCCGTCAGGTGGCGTGTGTACTCCTGCAGGAGAAGGCAGACGTGGAAGCCAGCACCAAGACGTTGGCGACGCCTCTCCACGCCTCCGCCAGCGTCGGCAGCCTCGACACCATTACCGTCCTCCTCAAGGTGAGACGACTTCACACAGTCAATCAATCAATGTTTATTCTAAAAATGTGTGTGTGTACGAAAAACATTCAAGTTCTGTGTCCCGCTCTTGTGCCAGGTAAGTCCACTACGGGCTCACCATAGCCCGTGCTACTTGCCCCGCTCCTGTGCCAGGTAAGTCGACTACGGGCTCACCATAGCCCGTGCTACTTGCCCCGCTCCTGTGCCAGGTAAGTCCACTACGGGCTCACCATAGCCCGTGCTACTTGCCCCGCTCCTGTGCCAGGTAAGTCCACTACGGGCTCACCATAGCCCGTGCTACTTGCCCCGCTCCTGTGCCAGGTAAGTCCACTACGGGCTCACCATAGCCCGTGCTACTTGCCCCGCTCCTGTGCCAGGTAAGTCCACTACGGGCTCACCATAGCCCGTGCTACTTGCCCCGCTCCTGTGCCAGGTAAGTCCACTACGGGCTCACCATAGCCCGTGCTACTTGCCCCGCTCCTGTGCCAGGTAAGTCCACTACGGGCTCACCATAGCCCGTGCTACTTGCAACTTTTGGTTCTGAGTAGCTGAATCTGAAGCAACAACAACAACAACAAACAACATAAGAGTTGTAGGGACAGGAGTTACATACTAATGAAGTCACTATTACGCGAAGCGTTTCGGGCAAGTATCCTAAGCAACAACACTCAATTCACCGAGATCATCGGAGATTGAACTCGGACCTGTACAAAATACTAGAACATCGATATACCAATCGAGTCGGGGAGGGGGGGAAGGTAGATTATCCCCAAGATCAACCTGTCCTCACACATAATGCACCACATTTGACGCCTTAGCATCAATCTCGTGTGATTTCGAACGCTTCTGGATAGATAAAACCACTTCAAAATTGACGCTCGAAGTGCTCCAGGGGGAAATCTTATCTTCAATTGCAGTTAGATGCTGTTTAAGACTTGTCTAAGTTGTTCCCTGTTATAAGCAAGCTACCCTGGTCGTTAGAGCGGTCACAGGCTTAGAGTTCATAATATCAGACTGGCTGAGTGCTTTCTCCTGATAATCAAAACACGGTACAGGATTTGAACTCCCAATGAAATTTGATTTCAACATTTTTCATATTATTGTGAATTTTTTTTAACTTTTATTCTTTTAATAACATAACTCATCCTCCAGTGACACAACTCATCCTCCAGTGACACAACTCATCCTCCAGTGACACAACTCATCCTCCAGTGACACAACTCATCCTCCAGTGACACAACTCATCCTCCAGTGACACAACTCATCCTCCAGTGACACAACTCATCCTCCAGTGACACAACTCATCCTCCAGTGACACAACTCATCCTCCAGTGACACAACTCATCCTCCAGTGAAACAACTCATCCTCCAGTAACACAACTCATCCTCCAGTGACACAACTCATCCTCCAGTGACACAACTCATCCTCCAATAATACAACTCATCCTCCAATAACACAACTCATCCTCCAATAACAAAGATATTTACGGTGATAATTTACAGTAAATGCAATCTATAAATTTTAGCACATAATACAATCAATAATTTGTACTGTTGAAAATGGTGACTTGCCGGAAATTTCGCCAAGGGCTGACATAATCTAACGTAGGCCTAACCTAATCTAATGTAGGCCTAACCTGTAATTTGCGAAATAACAACTCTTTCTGTTTACCTTTGTGTTAATTGTATATTGTGTTAAATATAGAAAAGTTATTAGCTGTGTCCCGTAATTAAATTTCCAGCCATTGAATATATAATATCCGTATTGTTTGCTCCTCAGGCTTTTGTATATTTAATTCGTGAATAATGACTGAACATTTGAACATTTGGGATATATTGACCAGACCACACACTAGAAGTTGAAGGGACGACGACGTTTCGGTCCGTCCTGGACCATTCTCAAGTCGATTGTGACAATCGACTTGAGAATGGTCCAGGACGGACCGAAACGTCGTCGTCCCTTCAACTTCTAGTGTGTGGTCTGGTCAACATACTTCAGCCACGTTATTGTGACTCATCGCCTGCATTTGGGATATACACACCAAGAAGTCTCCCGGATTTCTCTGTGTATATACACAACGAGTATACTTCAGTCCTTGACTATGTTCAGGACCAAAGTATAGTTCCTGGTTAGCAAGTAAACTTGTTGCTGTTTGCTGTTTTAGATTCAGCTACTCGGAACAAAAGTTCCAAATAGCACGGACAATGGTGAGCCCGTAGTGGAGCCGTAATGGCTCGGTGCTATCCCATGATAGTTCCCCAACTCGATAACACTCATGGCGGACTTCTTCTTTTTTGTTGGAGTACAGTACAAAGCCCGGGTGGACGCTCCCGACCTGTTCCAGCGGACGCCGCTCATGTACGCCGCCGCCGGCAACCACAGTGATGCCCTCCGCCTCCTGGTCCAGCACGGCGCCTCTCTGGAGCACCGCGATCTGTGAGTCCCACATATCCGGTCCCTGTCTTGTGCTGCTCCTCTGTTGTCATTCACTACTCTTACCTTCCCTTGTTGGTGTGTGGTCGGACAGATAGACACAGCACCGCTCCTGTGCCAGGTAAGTTACGGGCTCACCATAGCCTGTGCTACTTGCCCCGCTCCTGTGCCAGGTAAGTTACGGGCTCACCATAGCCTGTGCTACTTGCCCCGCTCCTGTGCCAGGTAAGTTACGGGCTCACCATAGCCCGTGCTACTTGCCCCGCTCCTGTGCCAGGTAAGTTACGGGCTCACCATAGCCTGTGCTACTTGCCCCGCTCCTGTGCCAGGTAAGTTACGGGCTCACCATAGCCCGTGCTACTTGGAACTTGTTCTGAGTAGCTGAATCTATAACAACAACAACATGGTGTGTGGTTTTTGGTCTGTTTTTTTTTTTTTACCGTTTTTGGTCACTTTCGGCTTCTTCTTCTTCTTCTTCTTCTTCTTCTTCTTCTTCTTCTTCTTCTTCTTCTTCTTCTTCTTCTTCTTCTTCTTCTTCTTCTTCTTCTTCTTCTGGTGCTCTTTATTCCTTTTTATTCTTCTGTCCCCTATGGACAGGGTTATAGAGATCTGTTAAACAAACTTCAGGGATTTGTTGAATGATCAGCTGACTATATTGACCGCTACGCTACTGGATACTTTTCATTCTTCTTCTGAATCTTATTCTTTCTGCTATGCTTGTGATTTATATTCGTCACCTCCAGGAGTCACCAACATTTGGTTGTCACCTCCAGGAGTCACCAACATTTGGTTGTCACCTCCAGGAGTCACCAACATTTGGTCGTCACCTCCAGGAGTCACCAACATTTGGTCGTCACCTCCAGGAGTCACCAACATTTGGTTGTCACCTCCAGGAGTCACCAACATTTGGTTGTCACCTCCAGGAGTCACCAACATTTAGTTGTCACCTCCAGGAGTCACCAACATTTAGTTGTCACCTCCAGGAGTCACCAACATTTAGTTGTCACCTCCAGGAGTCACCAACATTTGGTTGTCACCTCCAGGAGTCACCAACATTTGGTTGTCACCTCCAGGAGTCACCAACATTTGGTCGTCACCTCCAGGAGTCACCAACATTTGGTTGTCACCTCCAGGAGTCACCAACATTTGGTTGTCACCTCCAGGAGTCACCAACATTTGGTTGTCACCTCCAGGAGTCACCAATATTTGGTTGTCACCTCCAGGAGTCACCAACATTTGGTCGTCACCTCCAGGAACGAGTCTACGGCGCTGCTGGTAGCAGCTCAAAGCAGTCACGAGGCAGCGGTACAGACGCTGCTGGACCTGGGTGGTGACGTGCGAGCAGCCGACAAGCTAGACAAGACGGCTGTATACTACAGCGCCGAGAAGGGCAAGATAGGAACGCTCAAGGTGAGGCTCCGGAGGAGGCGAGTATACCAGCCAAGCGCTATACTCTACCTCTATTGCCACAGCGATTTTCTATCACATTCTCCCTCTTTTCAGGTCCTCCCGGGCACCATAAGTACAGTCCGGTAAAATTCCATCTCCTTTGGCACCTCTGTATGGTGATCTGTACCCATGACCAATTATAAAGCCGAGCTTTACCCCGCCCTAAATGTCCAAACAATTCAAAATCCAGCTGGATAAAATCATCAGGTCAAATGGGAGGGGAGGGGGGGGGGGGACTTTTAATAATCCGTTTGCTTCCGGTTCTCGTCGAGGCCACTAGTGATATGGTGACCCTCAGGTAAATTCAGGTAAAACTAACTATGAACAGGCTATTATAGATAATGTAAAATAATGAAGAAAAAATCAAATTACAGTTTCCAAGCAAGCATCACCTATTATGTATTATTTTGAAAAAAAAAAAAACATCAAAATATAAAGTCGAATGTCCATCGGCATCTGCCTACCATCTGGTTAACAATATTTGATTTAACGTGTAACGCCTAAATATCTCCAATCGACCAAAAAATTGGGTCGACACATCTGGCCCGCGCCACATTTATACCTGGCGCCACCAACAGCTAAACACAGACAACAACTGCCTTCGTCGCAGCACCAAGGATCAGCTGACGCCATAAACACAACACACCGCCCTACAGTGCGGCAAGTCTCCCTCTAACACACACCTCTGTTCTAGTCGCCGCTCCTCTATCTACACCACAACCCAACAAGCACTTTTGGAACTCTTATCATCCTCAACATACACGCGTCTCCCAACATCAGTACTGGTGCAGTCATCGGGAGGACAAACCCTTCATGCAAACTGCCCGAAACGCTACGCGTACTAGTGGCTATACAAGAATGTAACAACTCTTGTATATATCTAAAAAAAAAACTGCACCTACTATCAAGAAGAAGAAGAAAGTGTATTGAAAACATAGTTATGGTGTAATGTATTAGTTAATGCCCTCCTTGATAACAACAAAGAATACACTTTTGTTACATTAAATGTGACTTAGCACATCTAAATGGCCAGTTTACAGGTTTCTTATGTAAAATGTATGCATCCATCAATGAAGAGGAAAATGTATAGGCCTACCCCAGATGTTTAACTATAGAACTTAGGAGGCCATGATACAAATATCTATGTGTACCATCAAGAGCTAATTTTCTTTGAGCATTTTTCTTTAAAGAAAATGAGAATTTTCAATGTATAACTATATTAATATTGTTAGATATACCTTATGTTGGTATGGAACACCATATCACAGACAAGAAATGGGTTAGATTTATTGAGGTCCCTTCAGCAAATGGTGAAGCTATTCCCACTGTCACACATCCAATTACTGTCCAGATCCAACAGCGATTAACCGAAAGTAGGTTATAATAGAAAAATGCAGAGCGCTTTGTCAGGAATAATGTGAGAGTCGTTTGAATAATCAATATTAACCTAGATGAGGATTGTTCCAGAGATGTGTAAATATTTAATTCAAAATGATCTGCTACCAGAAATTTTAGCCAAAATCCCCAGTTTGCTAACTGTAGGTAGTAACTAAGTGACTGTAACCTATCCACCGCTGCCCACTGGATGGGGGGCGGTGTGCAGGACAAACATATCAATTGTGACACTAGCTCTCCACATGTCAGTTGCTTAATTTAGAAACTACTTGTGGTCGATCTCGAACCCTTTGTTGATGTGACGATGTGTATTGAATTGTGTAACTAGCTCATCAAGATTGTAACTTGCTTAGCTAAATGAACTGTGGGATTCAGTCCCTGAACCCATTATGTGCCTCTGTAACCCTTTCCACTCCCGCCCACAAGATGGGTATGGGGTGCATAATAATGAACAAAACTAACTTTAGTTAACTTGAAAGATAGCTAATTAACATGCCAGAGCCTCGCTGACACATTTACCGCCCCACAGGCGCTGTTGGTCAAGGCTGAGAGCCGAGAGGTGGTCAACGCCACGGACTGTAACGGACGCCCTCCCCTGCACGTGGCTGTGGAGCCCGGCAACGTGGCGGTGGTCGAGGCTCTTCTGAAAGCCGGAGCCTCCGTGCAAAGCAGGAACGAGGAGCAGGATACAGTGCTCCACCTTGCCGCCAGTAGAGGCTCCGTCAGGTGGGTTGACATCCAACCCGTTCTCGCACTTTCTTACAGTCAATATTGACTTATTTAATACGTGCATATGTGACATACTAAACATACTAGTTTACCTTGAAAAGCTTCATAGAAAACACCGACCTTACCTAACCTTCTTAGTAGGTTAAGATAAGCATCTTATTGCTTCGTAATTACAATTATTACTTAACCTATACCTATAATAGGTTAAGTAATAATTGTAATTACGAAGCAATAAGATGCTTATCTTAACATACTAAGAAGGTTAGGTAAGGTCGGTGTTTTCTATGAAGCTTTTCAAGGTAAACTAAAATAGTCACAATAAATTAGTATGTCACATATGCACGTATTTAATAAGTCAATATTGACTGTACGAAAGTGCGAGAACGGGTTGGGACATCAGGAAATATATTGTCAGGTGGGTGGATATTTTGCCGGGGCGAGGTACGAGGCTTGGACGCGTGTCCCAAGGTACCGTGTATAATAGGCCAAAGCAGTGGTATTTGTTGACACATTTGTTATGCATAAGGGTTAAAATATACTTTTAATTGTATTTATAACTATGCATGCTTGTAACTATAGCTTGTCTTAAATAAGTGCATAATATATGTTTTGAGAACAGAGTGTATTACTGTCGCGTGGTTTAAAATAAACTATCAGGGAGACTTGCTTTAAAACTGTCGAAAAACAAGTATTTTGAAACATAGTTTGTTTTATAATTTCTTAGCAATTCGCATTTGTAAGTTACCTAATGCCCAATACTTTCGCTGAGGGCTGACGTGTAAGATTTTATATAGATCTTGATTTGATGATTATTTACTGTGTTTAATTAACATTTTGATCAGAATACATTACTTAAATTGTCATTTATCAGTGTCTCTCACCTCGTCCATCAAATTATCGAACCCTGCTAGAAACACAACCATGTACTGAATAAGTTCATGAGTGAGCCGCCGGAGGGACTTGTAATGGAAGAGCGCAGTCATAAACCTTAAGTATTGAACCCCTTTTTTGGGATGTATTTTATTGTCATCATTCAACTTTATTCAACTTGAACGCAGTCGTGACATTTCACTTGTTTATTTTATTAATCAACCCGTTAGCTGTACACCTGACAAGAGTTAGTTAGCTCTTGTGGTGGCGGTATTAACCTCAAATAATGCATCGCATTTTGTACACTATGCTCTCCAACAGACAAAATACGGGGTAACTGGAAAGTAGCGCCTCAAAGCATTCACCACGTTTTCTATGTGCTGGTTGGTTAGGTGAATACGGGTAGCTTGGGTTCGGGCGTTATAGCACGCATTATTTTGTCCACTGTGACAACTCAAGCGAACAGGTTCCTGAATAACCCTCCCGTGGTTGGTTGTGATTAAAACCCGACACCAAATCAAAGGAATATGACTAGTGTCATGCTGTGGCAGGTTGGTGAGCCAGTTGGTGTCCAAGTGCAGCCAGTTGGTCAACGCCGAAAATGGGGACCTGAACACGGCGCTCCACCTGGCGTGTAAGGCGGGGCAGGAGGGCGTGGCTAGGGCCCTGCTAGGAGCTGGGGCCAACCACTCTGCCACCAACGCCGCCTGCGTTACGCCCCTCCACCTGGCCGCTGCTGGGGGCCACGCCGCCTCCTGCCGCCTCCTGCTCGACTCCGGCGCCCCGGCGGACCAACACGACAAGGTAAGACTCTCTCACGAGCCGTGAGACAAGGTAGACAATCACCTACCTTGTGTCTACCTCGTGGTGGTTGCGGGAATCAACGTCCCCGCGACCCAATCTCTGACCGGCCCTCCGAATTGATGAGTTTATACGTATAAATCTTATACACTTATACGTATAAAATGATGTAATTTAAAACTTCAAATATGTACAATCACCCTTCCCTTCCTCAATTACGCTCAAAAATAAGTCAAGCATAATATTTACAATATGCATCGTATTTTTCAAACTGCAGGTCAGTTTGGTAAAATACAAAATATCTCTGTTTTCTGTAAAGGTCTATTTTCTTTGTAAAATTATTCAATTTAGTTATTTCAATTACGCTAAAAAATATCACTCAAGAATAATATTTTAAATGTCCATCTTAGTTTTGAAACTGCATGTCAATTTGGGCACAATATGACAAATCTCCGTTTTCACTTATGGCCATAGAATTATGTAGAATTCAAGAGTTTCTTGAATTTTACACTAATTAAAAAGAAAAATAAAGCAGGTGCAGATGGCTTTAGAGATCTGTGTTTAATTTTACTCAAAGAATAATTTTTATGCTAATGTTGAAGATTATTTTGAAAACTCTTACCCAACTTATTCACCCACTACACACAGAAATCACAATTGCGTGATGCATCAAATGAACAAATCCACAAGGCCCGTGTCGAGGGCCCGCAGGCCATAAGTGACGAGGGACGCAGGTTCGAATCCTCATCACGGCCCTTGTGGATTTGTTCATTATTCCCCCAACTTACACTACGCCCTCCCCCTCTCCTTCACGCAGGAGAACAAGACCCCGCTGATGTTGGGGGTGGTGGAGGGTCACGTAGCGGTGGTGAGGGTGTTGTTGGAGAAGGGAGCCTCCCTCACTGTGCGCGACAACAGCGGCTTGAATCCCCTCCAGTTGGCAACTCTCGCTGGCCAGAGGTGAGGCAACCCGTCCTATTACAAATGACGTTGCTTTTCGCTCGTATGCAGCACTCAGGCTAAAAATGAAGGTAATTCAAAATGAAATCGAATCGAGATGTGACGTACTGTCCCGTTTTCTGTTTTCGGTCCTCTGGCTTAGTCCGTTAGGTTAGGAGAGGAAGCTTTCAATTAACGGTTTTCATGACTTTTTGAAACCTTAGGAGAACTTCCTACCCTCCTAACCTACTAGATCACCCTTAACTTGTAGTTTTGGAGAAAAAAAAATATACAAAATTCATTTTTAATTATTTTTAATTTTCAAATTACGGCTTTTTTTGGCCGTAGCGCATACGAACGAAAAGCGACTTAATTTGTAAGAGGATACCTAATTGATGCCTGGTCGATCTGCTGTAGGTGAATCGATCAAATTGTTCGACGTGCAAAATGAATTGGAAATAACCAGTTTGCCGACGTTTAATATATGCGATTTGTAATAAATCTTTGTTTACAAGTCACATCGTACACAAGACGGTTTGCTATCGGATTTTATAGCCTACCTAACCTTAGCCAACCCTAAACTTAATCTTACCTAATCTAACCTAAACCAACCTAATGTAAGCGAGCCTAACGTAGCCTACCTAAACTAATGCAAGTTAACTAACCATATATATACAGTTTCGACAATCGGTAAACGAGCTTTCTTGAACCATCTATTGAACAATTTGACAATACTCCACTTTCCTTCCAACCAAGCGCTTCTCTTAACTTACCACTTGTGAAAAATAAAACTGCTTAGCCTATCCATAAACCAAGCAACAGACCTAACCCCTCAAAGCTAACACATAGGAAACGTCAGTATTACAGCGCTTTAATTTTGGTTTACAATTACATATCATCTCAAAAGGATTTGTCAATTCCGTAAATAAAAAATAATGCATTGTTTACATTCCCCTGGCAGGGACACCGCTATGGTGATAGTCACCTCGCCACAGTGGAAGGAGGCTCTGCGGCACAGAGCGACGACCCATGAGGAGTGGCGCACTACTCCCTTCAGAATGCTGGTGGTGAGGCTTCCTGACGTCGCTGAAGAAGTCCTCAACAGGCGAGTTGGCTTTGGTAGCATTCACTCCCACCTGTATGCAGTCAATAGGGTTAACAGAAAGATAAAAAAAAAGAGGAGAGGCTTTTATGGAAGGGGGACATCTACACGTCTGTGAAGAGGTTAAGATAAAAGGGAGAGACTTATATGATGGGGCTATTTACATTGCTATGAAAAGGTAAACAGAACAGGAAGAGTGTTAAATTCTTCCCTTCCAAGTGTTAAATAGTCGTGGTGCTTTTTTCTGATCCCTTGCCATAGTGTTAATATTATCTGTTAACACTATAATATTCCCCCCTCTTGTTAACTTTGTGTTCTCTAAATAGATGCATAAAGCCGAAGAGCAGCAGCAACACTTCCAACGACACCAGCGCCAAAGACGACGACACCGGCGAGTTGAACTTCGAGTATCTGGAGGACATCTTCCAGACGCAGGACAACCCCAGCCAAGTGGCTAGTGAGTCGGAACCCACGGCTACTGCCAAGAACAACGAGGACGCCAGGCTCCTGAACGAGAAAAAGGGAACCGAGTCTTCGGTACTGAAGCCCTATAGTACTGACGCCAGGCTCCTCTACACCAACCACCCGCTCACGCTCATGATCAAACACCGCCGGGAGACACTCCTGGCGCACCCCGTCTGCGTCCATCTCATCAAACGCAAGTGGATGAGTTATGGCAGGTGAGACGGCTAGGAAAACACTCATTAATTACATAACATAACGATTAAGGAAACTGTGCATATTGGCCTGAACATGTTTGACAACATGTTCTCTCGTCTATGTTGCAGATTTGTGTACTTGGTGAACCTAGCGTTCTACCTGGTCTTCCTTGTGTCCTTGACAGCCTGTGTCCTCTCCGCCAGGTGACCTCAAAACTGTTTTTGTAAAACGAATGTCAATATTATCGACATATTTAACACTTATATTTGTTTTTTACTTTGTTTAACTGATTGGTACAAGAAACTGTTTTTTTGTAAGGCCCGATTTGCCTAATGTTTTTTGTAAGGCCCGATTTGCCTAATAGGCCGAGTGATTTTCTTTATTTTCAATAATTTTTTTCCAAATAGTTTATTTGAATTATTATTATTATTTTATATTAAGACCATAATGTTTTGACTTAGTTGTGTTAGTTTAGCTTAGGTTAGGTTAGGTTAATATAGGTTAGGTTAGGTTAGGCTAGGTTCAATCATATATCTACATTAGTTTTACCTCAAATTTAAACAAATTAACTTATACATAATGAAATGGGCAGATTTATCATTTCATAAGAAAAAAATTGGAAAAATATATAAATTCAGTACACACAGAAATCACAATTGCGTGATGCATCAAATGAATGCATTCGTGAATGAAATGCATTCATTTGATATATTTCATTCACGAATGCAACAACAACAACGTGTGTAAACCTAAGTTTTTGAAAATGTAATAAGCATTACGAAACGCGTTCAGGCGTCAGACCATAAATAACAATAAATTATGGAGAATTGATATTACACTTACCATCGACAGTGAAGAAAAACATAAGAAATATTGAGAAAATCCGTGTTAGAATTATTAATCTTACCTTTTCGGTCATATTCAACAACATATGTATATATATATATATATATATATATATATATATATATATATATATATATATATATATATATATATATATATATATACAGTATTATGTAATTTTCGAGTATTGATACATTTGTATAATTTGTTTTGAAATATTTCGTGACCCAACGCATTCGTCGCCCACAGAGACCCCAACTGGAAGTTTGATAACGACACTCACCCAGGGAAGGAACTTTTGAAAAACCCTGATGTCTGTAAGGTTAGTTTTCTCCTCTACATACATCTGTTACCCTTCCCTTCAGCAGCCTAATCCGGTAGCGGAGGCCTCGCTAGGGAGACGTGCACCACAGAACAAGACACTAGGCTCGCCTTCTGTCACTGACACAACTGACTGAAAAGTGTTGTGACTGGCCCCTTAGCAGGCAAAATATAGTGATTAGTGAGCAGTGAGTGTGGTGAATAGATTTACTAATAGTGTTCAGTTTGTGACAAGAAACTTGGTAACGCGATTTCTTTCTTCTCTATTGCTGCTGCTGCTGTTGTTGTCTGGGCGTCGGGGCAGGAGCAAGCGAATTGGAGGGAGTGGCAAGGCCCGGCCTTTATTTCAGTTACTAAGTGGTGTGTAGTGTTCGTGGCTTTCCTGGAGATGGTCAAAGAGCTCTCCCACTTCTACCAGGTATGATTTGCATTGTTCCAGTAATGTCAGGTATTTACTCGACTCGCCCTCAGCTCTACCTGGTACTAGATATGCATCTGTTCTGTTAGGTGCTATAACCATGATTCTACCAAATACTAGACCCCGGTTCTGCAGGTAGATAGATGTTGTTGTTTTAGATTCAGCTACTCAGAACAAAAATTTCCAAGTAGCATTGGCTATGGTAAGCCCGTAGTGGACTCACCTGGCACAAGAACTAGATAGATGTTCCTGTCTCCATAGGAAATGTCACACTGCTATCAGATACAGAATAATGCATATTTTCCTTCTGCCAGTTGTGATTACACGGACGTATGGTAAAGGTATGAGATGTTTTCATTAGTGTCGACCTGCAGGCCCGGACGGCTTACCTGAGAGGACAGAACCTGGTGGAGTGGGTCTGCTACTCCTCCGCCGTCCTCTTTGTCTTGGACTTCAATGGCTGCCCCGTCAAACAGGTGAGTATAGGTAAACCTCTGAGGTTTATTTTGCCCTTTTAAGGTCTGTATTTCAAGGATAAGGTGAGGGGTTGTTGTTGTTGTTTTAGATTTAGCTACTCAGAACGAAGTGTCCATGTAGCACGGGCTATGGTGAGCCCGTAAAGGTGAAGGGGTCTTCTCACCTATTATATCCTTTTCGCCACTCTGGGAGTGATCTGGTGATTAAGGGTCGCTTAGCACGATAGTCTACGCCCTCGACTCACAACCAAGGGCCCCATAAAGTTCAATCCCCTGGAAGGACAGAAACGGTTGGGCACGTTTCCTTTCATCTGATGTCGCTGTTCACCTAGTAGTAAATTAGGTACGTTGAAGTCAGGCGACTGTTGTGGGTTGTATCCTGGGGAACAAGTTGGCCAAGGAGGAGACCTCCATAAGCCTAAATACAGGCACCCTTCCCCCCCCCCTTCCCCGACAACGGGAATTTTAAGTCACGCATATCTTAGAGTATAGTTAGGTTTACTTCTAAGTGGTCAATATACGGCTCTGTGCTAAGGTTGTGATTTTTTCTCTTCTGTCGAGTCTGCAAAGAATTTCTGCTCTTTCTTTCCTCTCAGGGATGGCAGTGGCAGATGGGAGCCATGGCCATCTTCCTGGCCTGGATGGACCTGCTGCTCTTCATCCGCGTCTTTCCCTTCTTCGGCATCTACGTCATCATGTTCACCGAGGTCCTCAAAACGTTCATTAGCTTCTTCGTGGTTTTCTTCATGTTCATCGTCGCCTTCGGCCTTGGCTTCCACACGGTGAGTCTTCCTTCACGGCTCCTTACTCCGCTGTGGTTCTGTCCTGGGTTATGTGGCCTCACAAAGAACTGAACTAGCTCGGCCTCACAAGGAAGCAGTCTCGGCCTCACGAGGAAGCGGTCTCGGCCTCACGAAGAAGCGGTCTCGGCCTCACGAGGAAGGAGTCACATCCTCACACACATGAAAATACTCGTATCACTTGGAGTGGTCGTTAAAGCTTCATTTGTTTGTTTTTACCATGTTTGAGACTGGAGATATAAAAACGGGCATACCCTTATTCAAGAATCTATATTACCGCAATTTTTTAATCTTTCAGGTGCTAGAAGACAAAGAATTCTACACAACGCCAGGCCGTTCCTTCATGAGGACAGCCGCCATGATGGCGGGAGAGATAGGCTACGAGGACATCGTCAGTGGTGGAGAGGTATGTCTACCTAGACTTCTTGCTGTTGTTGTTTTAGATTCAGCTACTTTGAACAAAAAGTTCCAAGTAGCACGGGCTATGGTGAGCCCCATAACTGTCTTGCCTTGGAGCTTGACTTAAACACTTGTAATGTGGAGTAGCTTGCCTTGAGGGAAAAACTCCATTGGAGAAGAAAATTAGGCGGTTATCTTAACGCCAAATATTTCGTTCATCGGCGACTATTTTTAACTTTGTATTTAATAGCCAAAATCTGTACTTACATAACCCATTGTATCATCTTGTATTTAAACAAATAAAATTTATTTCTAAACTTTGCCAATAACGCTCGCCTGCAGGACGCGTTTTCTTTCAATTTATGAAAGAAAACTTTAATCTATATTCTAAATTGTACGTCGGTCAGGGATATACACACACCGGAAACTATACCCCACAGTGTATACCTGGTGGTTAGTTAGTATCTATCGTGGTGGTTTTAATAATCCTCCCTCGGTTGGCAGGCCATGTTGCCGATGAAGGAAGCAATTTGGCACTAAAATACCCGGTTGGTTAAAATGCGACCCCTAATTCATGACCTGATCCGCCTTCTGTGTGCCCAGCAGATGCCTGACTTATCAGCTGATGTCTGACGTGTCAGCTGATGTCTGACGTATCAGCTGATGGTTGTCGTATCAGTTGAAGACTGTCTTAACAAATAATGCCTGACTTATCAGCTGATGACTGACTTACCAGTAATGCCTGAGCGATCAGCTGGTGACCTGATACATTAATGTGATTGATTCTCCCATTACAAATAGCAGCTGTCACCAGCAAACAAAAAATTAATCTGCATAGGCTTTTCCTACCTACATAAAGCTTTTGTTTACATCCATACAGTACGCTGCAGTGACGTACATCTTAGTCATGGCGTTCCTGGTGATCATGTCCATTCTCATCATGAACTTGTTGGTGGGTCTGGCTGTCGACGACATCAAGGCCGTGCAGGAGTACGCCATGTTGCAGAAGCTGGCCATACAGGCGAAGGTAAGGACACGCAGGCGAAGGTAAGGACACGCAGGCGAAGGTAAGGACACTCAGACGAAGGTGAAGACCTTCGGACGGAGGTAGGATACGAGGCCGGTGACTGGGCTGTCCACGCAAAGGTGATGTTCGAAATAAATAATAATTGAAATTCTTCGTCCTCACTATCACAACATCTGGTGCAGGCAATGAGGCTTTTTTTTTTTTAACTTGTTCTTCAAAATTGCAGCAGTATTTTAAGTTTCACAAGTCTTTATTTTTTATTATTATTTATCTGTTTAATGGAAATTAATAGTGTTTGAGTTTAGCAATCCTCTTGAGCAGAAATTGGGCTGTAGCTGTCACTTATAGTACTATTTTGATTCCTTAGCTGTTGGAACTTATTTCAGCTGAGTGAATAGTGATTGAAGGAATGTCCATTTGGTGTTCCCCAATGTCATGTCTCATCCGTCCCTCCCTCCACAGCTGGTCCTGGAAATAGAGATGGTGATCCCAGAGTTTATACGCAGAGACATGGCGAAGAAGCCTAAGATAGAGGTGGTCTTGAGCAAGAATACGATACTTCAGAAGTTACTTGCCAAGTTCAGCTTCTACCAAGAGAAGGAGGTGGGTGGGATTGCTTTGGTTCTAGAGAGGTTCTCGCTGGTTCTCGCTCATCTCGAGCGGCTTTCTGGGATGGGTGGAGGGTGTGAAGTTTCGAAGCTTGTAAATTGTTTTTATATATGAAAACAAATCCGACATGATTATGAAAAGATGTACAGGTTTCGTAAGTGGTTTCGTAAATACTTGATGAATCCTAGCCTGGCAGATCCAGGTTGTTGTAGTTGACCATATAATATATCCATCCTTTCAGACGAGCGAGTTAACTGAACTGCGGCGTGAGATTCAACACCTCAGGGCGTCTGTAGATGACCTACTGGAGATGAAGGCCTCCCTGTGCGACCTGGTACCTCAGGTCAAACTCACATGACCTGGCTCGGGTCAAGAACCTGAGGTGAACCAGAACTTGACGGGATCAAGAACCTGAGGTGAACCAGAACTTGACGGGACCAAGAAGCCTCATGGTTACACAAGAATTGCCAATAAAATCTGCCGCTGGTGTTCAATGCGAGGATGTTCACTTGTTACGACCTCAGTCGTGTTGGGAATCACCACAACTGTTCACAGGAAATTATTCAGTTATTGTTCATTTTGCTTTGTCACTGACTAACTTTGGGACCCAGTTGTGCTACTGCTCCAATCTATTTGAGGTATGTCAAAGTGGTGGGTAATAAACTAGCTACGTTTGCAACCTGCTAAAGAGTCGAGTCTAGTGCACCCTAGAGAGGGTACAGGTCGCCAGCACATTCTCACTTGACAAACGTCAAGTCTGATGTGTTTTTGCCTAACCAAAAGCGTACAAACCCAAGCAACTCTCCTATCGCAATCGAGGCATTAGTACGAAATAGCGTTAATAATACCGTGTTTTTAATTTTATTAAACCATAATAATTTTGACGTTTTGGTCGATTTCGTTAAGTGTGAGAACAGATTGGTTTCACTCCTCTACTGTCATTTCGTTGCTTAAATAGCAATAGACACTGTCCTCCAAAAACTAACTCTTCCGAGACCTACTACAGTACATATATATATATATATATATATATATATATATATATATATATATATATATATATATATATATATATATATATATATATATATATATATATATAGGGGTACCACCTCTGGTGCAATTGTAGGGACCCATATATATATATATATATATATATATATATATATATATATATATATATATATATATATATATATATATATATATATATATATTACATTATTATTGTTAACATTAACCTGTTAACATTATTATTGGTCAATTTATTATATTTATTATGATTATACCACCACGTATGTGTAAAATGTATGGCATGAGAATAAAGGTAGGAGCAGAGGCCCTGTGGTGTATGTGTATACACACGAGGCTGCTCCCAGGTAGACCCCCAGCCACGTCCAGGTATTGATTATTGCTCTCGGGTAATTTATTATGCACCCCTGGGCTCATCCTGTCAACTCGCATGCAAATGGTCGGACATTATTGGACACACGTACAAAAAAAAGTCTTAATCAGACCCCGGTGAGTGTTCTTCGACATTGATTTATACGGTTGATAATACTATGGTGATAACATAACCATTGCGTGCACTGCAGCTGGTTTGCGTGCATTGCAGCTGCTTTGTGTGCACTACAGCTGCTTTGATTGCTGTTGTTGTTATAGATTCAGCTACTCGGAACAGGTTCCAAGTAGCACGGGCTATGGTGAGCCCGTAGTGAACTTGCCTGGCACAGGAGCGGGGCAAGTAGCACGGGCTATGGTGAGCCCGTAGTGAACTTGCCTGGCAAAGGGGCTGTAACTTGATGGGAGACTTCATGCCCTGTATGACTAACCATCCTGCGAGATGGGGACTTTTATTATCACTACAGCCTTATTCACTCTTGCGCTCACGATATCCTCATATTGCACCCAGAGTCTGTCAGTGCAGACTACTTATCACATGCCTCTGTATGACTAACCATCCTGTGTGATGGGGATTTTTTTAGCATCACGTAGCTAGCTTTTTTGACACACTGTACTCCCCTTCATATAGTCTAGGTCAGCTGCACAAATGCAGATGTACCTAATGATTGTACCTAATAAAACAAATGATTGAAGGATAGGCGTAGCTTAGGCTATTTCTACCCCTCGGCCTAGCCGAGGGGACCGACTAAAGAGCCTAAATCTGTACTCCCTTGAGCGCAGGCGGGAGAGATACATAATAATTTACACGTGGAAAATAATTGAGGGGCTGGTCCCAAACCTGCACACAGAAATAACACCACATGAGACCAGAAGACATGGCAGGATGTGCAGAATACCCCCGTTGAAAAGCAGAGGTGCAACAGGTACTCTGAGAGAGAACTCTATCAACATCAGAGGCCCGAGACTGTTCAACACGCTTCCACTACACATAAGGGGCATAACTGGCAAACCCCTCACAGTGTTCAAGAGAGAACTGGATAAGCACCTCCAAAGGATACCTGATCAACCAGGCTGTGACTCATACGTCAGGCTGCGAGCAGCCGCGTCTAACAGCCTGGTTGATCAGTCCAGCAACCAGGAGGCCTGGTCGACGACCGGGCCGCGGGGACACTAAGCCCCGGAAGCACCTCAAGGTAGCCTCAAGGTAAGGTAGCCAAAGAACCCTACGTGTGTAGGGTCGACCGTTCCTGGCTAGAGGAGCTTCAGAGTCTTCGTTGGAATTCATTACTTGCTTATTTTAATCATTAGTAATGCTGTTGTTTAAAGCTGTAGCTAGACCATTATTAGAGCACTATAAGGCTTGTTTGGTTCAAGCGTATGAACTGCGAGAGGGTTATTAAGACCAACATAATAATTTACTAACCATGCAATATTTTAGTCCTGAAAATAGGCCAGGGGTGAAAGTAAACTTTCAAGTGTATATACTTCGGTGCATACAAATATTACTAAATATACGATAATACAAGTAGATTTATAATATTTGCTTCTAGTAAAGTTTTGCAACAATTTCTACCGTTTTCTATGAGAGTTACCATTCACCACATTCCACTAACACCATCGCCCCCCCGACATGCACACATCTCTTCATTATACGTCCGTTTTCACCATATCGCACCACATCTCTCTACCACCATTCCCCCACCACATCCGTGTACCACCATCCCTAACCATACCCGACTACCACCATCCCCTCGCCCCCCCCCCCAACCACATTCCACTACCGCCTCCCTCTTACACCATAAACCCCACGTATCATATTTCAGGACTGTTAAAGTTAATTAACGTAACAGGTATACAAGAAGAAGGCTAGTAGGCGAAGCATAAAGATGCTCAAACATTTCGCCTGTTTCAGCATCCCCCACCACATCTCTCTACCCAACCATGACCACCAAACATCACTATATCATACCTCTACCTTCACTATCATCCCCACCACTGCCTCAATCCCTCCCACCACTACTACAATCCCTATTCCACCAGCATTCAAAGTGGAAGGGACTATAACAGTCCTTTTCACCATGAACATCCACCATCTCCCGCCAATTCCCAACCATTGACGACCACAATAATCAGCTACAAGTCCCCGCCACCATAACCATAAACATTTTCCACTCATGTACTCACAAGAAACTATAAAACAATGAAATTATCAAGAAATTGTTTGAATTTAGTAGCAAACAAGTCCTCGTGATGATAAAGAACGAATTAGTCCCTTATCCATCTCATTTTATGATAAACAAATGAGGGAGATTGGGAAAATTGTGAATGGTAGGTAGGCAAGGGAGGAATAACGTATTGACCGAGGGATTTAAAGAGCCGCGGTGTTGTTGACACCCCAGGCCGGCCAGTCAGTCAGTCACCCCGTAACCACTGGTCTGAGAGGGGGTTTGTTGACGTGCTCTCTTGATTTTCTTCAATTAAACCCCAGGTATGTTGCTTGTATTAATCATCTGAGGCTCCTGAGCTGTCTTGCTCAGGAGTTGTGAGTAGGTTAAGACTAGCGTAATGGCTAAAATTATTTTCTGCTCAAGTGCTGGTAGGCACAGTGCTGTTTTTATTGACGGCGTAATTTTTGTAATCCTTGATATTTTAGGCTAAATTATTTTTGATTTGTTTGATAATGTATGCTACAATGTTTTGATAAACCTATTTTGGCAACGTGCTTTTTTCACTACGATTTTAGTAGGCTTCCGAGTATTTTATGTTAAAAGCCATGCGTTCTATTCTAGGTGCCTATTATTTAATATAAATTTAATTTCCATTTACGATATGCGTATAGTATACCTAATGAAGCCGTAAATATATATATTCGTGATATCCTTAACACATTGTTTTGATTGTCGCCAACGGCGACCTGGTTTAATAATAAAACTTTTAAATTAAATTACTGTTTCGGGGTTCCATTGTCAGGGACAGGAATCTGGTTGCATGTGGGTGTCGTGTTACCCAACTAGTTACTAGCCAGAACCTACGGTATTAAACTTGACTAAGTGACGTGACCATCAACCACTATTGAGGGATATATATATATATATAATATATATATAAATATATATATATATATATATATATATATATATATATATATATATATATATATATATATATATATAATATTTTACCTGGTTGATGGGGTTCTGGGAGTTCTTCTACTCCCTAAGCCCGGCCCGAGGCCAGGCTTGACCTGTGAGAGTTTGGTCCACTAGGCTGTTATATATATACAGTATGTAGTTTTAACACGAACGTCACTACTCCTCCCATACTCTTTGTTAGCAAAATTATTCGAATACCCTGCTGCATCACTATACATGTGATGACATGTGAAAAAGTTAAGGATTTAGAGGGAACTCTTTCAGAAATTTCTGTTCCAAATACTGTATTACCAGAAATCTTATCCAAGTGTCCCATAGATAGTACATGAATGTGATTGTAAATCTTACCAGCACGCCCCACTGTAAACTTTTGGGATGCAGGATATGAAAATTTACAATTATATATATATATCTCGCCAGAAATGTAAATTACAGAACGAAAAGATCACTGGGAGTCAAGGACTTCAACCCATTTTGACTAATCTTTCTGCCACTCTTCTATTGGATGGGGGATTGAAGTCGATAATAACTAATTTATCAAAACAGTCAATTAAGTCACAAGGTAGCATACTTGGTCACTCCTCTCTCATACATCATTGGTCTGCCCAGTATCATGGAATATCTTAAGCAAATATACTATTTGTTGATGGCACAACATTCATTTTCTCAAATATGTACTAACCCAGTCATCTTAACTAATGCAGTAAATAGCCTGCTAGCCTAAACAAAACAAACTTCATGTGCCTAAATATGAGAAAACACACTCTTAATATTTACAAGACATTATAAGCAATAATTTATTGCCAATAAATTTACAAATCAAATAGACCAAAGAATTAACAGTATGCCAATTGTGATCAGATGAGAAACTCCATGGCATACACACAGATAACAAATTAAACTAATTGCCATATAAAAAAAGTACTATAATAAAAAAAATATATCTAAAGTTGTAGGCATACTCTCTAAAATCCACCCTGATACTACAGTATATTACTCACCCATATACCCATATCTCACTTATGGTATTTGTACCTGGGAATCAAACTTAAACCTACCTCGCACTTAATTGTTCAATGCAAATTGGCAATTAGAACAACAAAAGTCTAATTCCTAGACAGAACGCAGCATTTTCATTTAAATCCTTGAACATGCTGGATGTAAATGCACTTCACAGGTGTTCAAATGTTCTATACAATACTGTATCTTCAAAGCTCTAAAGCTGCAACAGAATATGTATAAGAATTATAATACAGTAGTTTATTTAAAAACATATACTGTATATTGGTTATATTGCATTGTATAGATATATGGTACAGCATTAAACAGAATTTATAAGGCTGCTAAGCATGCATAGCATTTTGGGCAAGTCTCAAAACTAATACAGTACTGTATTTTTAGTGTAATTAAATAATCATATAAACTTCAT